AAGGAAGGAAGGAAGGAAGGAAGGAAGGAAGGAAGGAAGGAAGGAAGGAAGGAAGGAAGGAAGGAAAGAAAGAAAGAAAGAAAGAAAGAAAGAAAGAAAGAAAAAGAAAGAAAGAAAAGACATCCATATTGGCATGAAAAAAGTAAAACTGGCTTTACTTGGAGATGACATAATTACTGGGGAAATTTGAAGAAATGTATTAAAAAGATAACAAAATGAGTGAGTTTAGCAAAGTTGTAAGATACAAATCAATATGCAAAATATTATATTTTCATGTATCAGCACCAAATAATCAAATCTGGAATTAAATGTGACTTAGAAATAAATGTGAAAAAGGTTGCGTCAAGAAAAAAAAAACCCTACATAGAGGTATATACCTTTTTCATGTTGTGAAAGCTGATGTACCAATATGAAATCATTTTTGCCAAAAAACAGAGAAAGTTGAAGTCTCAAAGTAATGAAGAGGGAGGGGATTCATGACTGTCACTCTGAGTTAAATACTGTTTCAAGAAATTTCTAAAGTCCTAGGAGAGGCCTCTTTATTTTATGTGAAGCCTCACAGGTATGCACAAATTTCTTTCTTTAAACCACAAGATAAGCCTTATTTGGAAATAGGGTCATTGTTGATGTTGTTAATTAAGATGAAGTCACACTGACATAGTAGAGATCCTTAATGTATTGACTGATACTCTTTTTTTTAATGTAACACAAGTAGATTATTAATGAAGAAAACACTTGGGCCGGGGATTTAAAAAATCAAACAAGAAAACACTTCTTAACATCTATGAAGGTATACACAAATTTCTGTAACAAAGTTTATCTTTAACCTTATTTAAGGCTGTAATAATTCAAAAAAGATGTTTTGGATAGAAACATTTAGATCACCTTTACCAATGAGCTGATGCCAACTCCTACCTCGTTTCCAAAACCAATAAAGTTTATATTCTACTTTAGTAAATCTTATGTAAATCTCTCACTTTTTATTTTGACAACTACCCTCTGCCTCAACTTCTTGGCACACATATCCCCACTGCAAAGTTCTCTTATTTCCAACTACACATTATTATTTTTTAGAGATCTCTCTGACTTATTAATCAGCAATGGGTAAGAATTCTCAGATGTATATGTGAAACTCTCCATAAATTGATCTACAGATTCAAGAGAATCTCAAGTTCAGATGAAACAAAATGATGTACAAAACCAAAACTTGGATGAAGAATAAAGTTAAGGACTAACTCCATCTAAATTCAAAACTTAAAGCAATATTAATCAAGACACTGTTATTCAATTGATTTAGTTGAGAATCTACAGTCTTTTCAGCAGTGTGCTTGACCAATTCAATATCCTTATGTAAAAAAGTGAACTTTGCTGTATACATGTATCATTGAAGGAAATCAACCCAAAACGGAACACTAATTATAAATTATCCAGTGATAAAACTTCCAGAAGAAAACCCAAAAAAGCCTTTGTGACCTTGGGTTAAAGTCAAGCACCTTCAGACACAACATTTAAAACACAATCCATAATAGAAAATTTATATAAATCGGACTATCAAAATTAGAAACTGCTCTTTGAATAAAAGATAAGCCACAAAAGATTTGCCAATTATGTATGATAAAA